GTCGCTTTGGCTGGTATCGTTGGTGGCTATATTTCTGCCTCAAGAATGGCTCGTTTCTCTTTTTCTTTGACACAAAGGCTATTTGGATTGCCTAGAGAAGAAGCTCTGGAAAACGCTTACAGATATTTGGGGGTTGAAATGACCGCTTCAAATGCACAGGTTAACACCGCATACCGCCGGATGTCTCTGATACACCATCCTGATAGAGGTGGCAGTCATGAGGAGTTTATTTTCCTTCAGACATGTATGGAAATTATCAGACAATCCCGGCGACATTAGTAATTTAAATAACTTTTAGTGTTAATAAGAAACCTTTACCATGATTAGGTTTCTGAGTTCTGACAAATGCTTATGTTTATAATGGTTATGTTATACTTAAAATCAAACCGGGGTCTAGCTGTGCTGAACTAGCGAAAGCAGGGTCAATACCTCAAAGGCGAGGTTTATAGTACATATGATTTATAGCACTTCCTATAAGTAGTCGCTAACTGTACGTTTTTTTAAGTGGTGTACTGTAAAGAAAATACTCACGGAAGAAAGCTAATAACATCAAACTGTCCACAATCTTCATCGTTATAATTTGGATGAATATCTATGTGAATATCTTTACAATACTCAATAGTGTAAAAATATAAATGTTTAAAAACTTAGGTCGATACTGGACTTCCTAAACTGAGAAAATAGCCATTCCGAAGCTGCAGTAAGAGACTGGTGGTAATAGTGATATTAACAATACATCATGCTGCCTTTGCGAGTAACCTTTTTGGTTACGTCCCAAAACAGTCCCTTAAGGTGGCTCGATGCGTTTTCTCGAAATTTCTAGATGCATATTTTAACCAGGGATATTAAGTACTTTTAAAATGTTTTGCTAAAAGGCTAAAAGTTTATATACTTTGCAGGAAACATATTTAGAGCGGAAATCTATTCAGAAGTTGTGCCTGGCACCCGTTACCTTGGCAACTGATACGCTTCAAAATGGCCGCTAAATGGGGTTTAATCGTGTTTATATCGAAAACGAGTTCGGTGACCCCCAATTTCTTTTTCATCAAACTACCACTTTAAAGCCATGCATGTCGACCTCACTATCAACAGTCCACTGCCACAACTCGCAATGGCCAATTCTATTATGATTTCGACTTCGCACTTGTTAATAATTCGTTAAATAATGTTATTATTGATTTATAGAAAAAACTTTCACACAAAACGTTTCTTGTATTCCTGGCGTCTAGATAATTGGTCAGTTAATCTGCGATATACATGGTGTATCAAAAAACGTCAGCCACTTAATATTCATATATGCTCGCTTCTATTCAATGACAACAGATCGTAGGCCCCTGCATGGGAATTATTAGGGTTGCAGTTTTTTTATACCTTCAATATAAGACGAAAGTCAGAGAAGTTTGAAAAATATTTAGGGAAGGAAACACCAGACACATACCTAGTTTTCTGTATGTTCGTGACAAAAATGAGGTTTTTAATTTCCTCCGCCGAAAAGTCGAAAACCCCCGTGTATATCACGAATCGGGTTGTAATTCTTGCTCTACAATATTGCTAATGTAAACAATTACATAACTTCATTTATTAATGTATTTGTAACATAAATCTGTAGGGAGCAACCTTAAATAATTTTGAAAACTTCAGGCAGACCACATTTGATTCTAGGTGATGTTGTACGTACGTACAGTATGGTTGGACGACTTAATCGATATTTACTAATCGACTCAATGTTTACTAATCAGAAAATTTTTTCTGACTGAAAACCAGCCTTTTTGGAGTACACTTTCATGTGACGTTTGATTTTGGAAAGTTTCGTTCTGTTTGTTGCTAATGTTACTTTGTTACTTGGATATGGTTACTATTTTTATTGTGAGAATAAAGGCTTCTGTTCTGTAAAATTTTACGTGATAATTGCACTTCGTATATCGGGCAAATTTGGTGTGAAATCAAACATGAGATCACAAATCGCACGACCGCTCAGTGGATGCAATTACCATTGATATCAGTAGAAATTGTGAAGTCGACAGAATTTTGTTGTAAACACACCGCCTTTGTATGAATCTCTGAAAAAACCACAACACAACATGTTTAGGATTTAATAAAACCGAATGAAGAACAATAGAGCTGTTCTATTACAGAGATTATAACAGATGAATTGCTAGATGCATATTTTAAACAAGGGTATTAAGCATCTAAATACTTCACTAGAAGGCTAAAAGTTTATATACTTTGCAGGAAACGTATCTAGAGCGGAAATCTATTGAGAACTTGTGCCTGGCTCCCGTTACCATGGCAACAGATACGTTTCAAAGTGGCCGCCAAACAGGGTTTAATCGTGTTTATATCAAAAACGAGTTCGGTGACCCCCAATTTCTTTTTCATCAAACTACTACCTTAATGCTATGTCGGCCTCATTATCACCAATCCACTGCCGTAACTGGAAATGACCAATTCTATAATGATTTCGACTTCGCACTTGTTAATAATTCGTTGTATAATGTTATTATTGATTGATAGAAAAAACTTTCACACAAAACGTTTCTTGCATTCCAGATTTCTAGATAATTAGTCAGTTAATCTGCGATATACAGGGTGTGTCAAGAAAACTGCAACACCTAATATTCATATATGTTCGCTTCTATTCAATAACAAAAGATCGTGGGATCCTGGGAATTTTTAGGGTTGCATTTTTTTTTAAAACCTGTGTACAATAATTACATACAACATTGCTGATGTTGTATCAAATATACATATCACATGCAATGCATATCATCTCTGAGCCGGTGCACACGAGAGCTATTTGCTCAACGATCAGCATTAAGTCACCCGTAAGCGTAGCGTAAGCAAGTTTCCACAGTGTGCGGCGACGTCTTGCGAGCTTTTGTTCACTCGAGCCATTTTTGGCCCGAATATTGAACATGTCGAATAATTTACTGTAGGATCGGGTGCATAGTTCCCCCCGTTTCCGGGCAAAGAGAGCGAATTTCTGAAATAAAAAAGCCAAAAAACATATGTAAATTTATGCCTGTTAGCCTATCATAGCTGAAATTAGCTTTCTTTGCCCGCACTCGCGGGGAAACTATGCATCCGTGCACCAAATTATTCAACATGTTGAATATTCGGTGCAAATGGCACGCGTGAACAAAACCTCGCAAAACGCCGCCGCACGAAAGGAGACCGTGAAATGCATTAGGTAGACACTAGATTGGCAAAAATCATTTAACCAATCAGGCGTCAGATGCGGCTGGCTGATCCCAGGGCCTTTTACCCCAACCCAGAATCAAGGTAAAACTCCTGGGAACGAGGTTAGGTCATTTATTAATGATTTTGGAACATAAGACTGTAAAGAGCCACTTTTGAAGACTTCAGGCAGTTAGTATCCCACATTTGATTCTGGGTGATATTGTACGTACAGTATAGTTGAACGACTTGAATCCATCTTTTACTAATCGACTCAATGTTTTACTAAGGAGTAAGGATAATTTTTTTGACTGAAAACCAGCCTTTTTGGGTCACATTTTCATGAGACGTTTGATTTTGGAAAGTTTCGTCCTGTTTGTTGTTAATCTGGCTTTGTTACTAGGATATGGTTACTGTCGTTATTTTAATTGTGAGAATAAACGCTTCATTTTTCTAGAATTTAACGTGGTAATTGCACTTTGAGCTGTTTTATTACAGAGATTATTACAGATGAATTACAGGATATATCTGATTTAGACAGCAAAATCTAGAAGCTGAAGAATCGGGCTGACTAAATGAATATTATTGGTAAAGATCTTCAAACATTTACAAAAAGATTATTATATTTATATAGGCCAATTCAGAAGTGAAATTATTTCCATTTTAAATTTTTGTTAAAGCAATAAACATGGCACAGGAAGCTTTTCATGTGTTAGACTGTGTATCGAATGACGGTCATTGAGTGTAAACAGTAGGATTAAACAAGACAAAGAACGATTCGCTAAGACTAAGCGAGACCTTTTTGTGGGTGGTTCCGTTGACAAATTTACGCCATTTGTTGACCCACTGACGCAGTGGCAGGTCTGGAAAGTTTCTGACCTATTTTGGACCAAAAGGCGGAACTGGGCTTCCCCTTTTTCAGAGTTCCCAGTGAGTGATGTTTGTTCTGTGTAGATTCAGCATGTGCCGAGAACGACTGTTTTACGGCGTCAACAAAATGACGGTAACAAACTTTCTTTTATCAAACTAATAAACTGCGAACTTTGCAGTAATGAATAATGATGCAAGCGAATCTGGTACGAGTTTGCCTGTATTATCTGTGTCCAAGGAGTCTTTTTCTTCTTGAACAGTAAGATCCATGGCTGCTTTGCACGTGGAGCGAAGCTAAAAGACAAGGAATAGAAGCGGACGCTGAAAGTTACAGGTTGAGTTAATAACGTTAAAAACACTGTATTTGAGCGAAGTAAATAAAAATAAGCATTGTTATATTGAGGCAAGTACCGAGCTGAAACGATTCAACCTGTTAGTTAGTTAAATTAAATTTAGAGATTAGATTGAAACGTCTGCAAATTAGAATAACAAAACACATAGGCTCAATAAGTACTAACTCTGAGCGTCTCTCAAAACACATTGCTACAGAGCTTATTAAGAAGCAGTCGGAATGATCATCAATTGTTACATCTTGTATACCAGTGTCTGAAGGTATTGTGAACCTGACGTGATAGTATTCCCAAACTTATTTTAGTGCATTAAAGAAGAAAATTAATATTGATTTTAAAGCTAAAAATTTGACATGAACGAAATGTACCGGGCCTGCTTTTCAAAAGTAAACTTTAATTTGGAGTTAGTGCTAAAATTGCGTCAACCCTGTGTGTCAGTTAACCCTGTGTTGTTCAAACCTTGCGTTTAGACAAGCTTTGTGCCATGTTCATGCATATATAAATTATGCAACAACAATGCTTCAATTTGCTTATCCTTCATAATATAGGTAACACAAAATGAATTTAATTTTAATTGCTTTGGCTTTATTTTCTACTTTGACGATGGCTGCAAAACAGGTAAAATTTTACGTATACGCATATTATTTTTTGCATTTCAAAGATATTTACATGAAAAGAATCCGTTATCTGTTACATCTTGCACTTGTCCAACTTCATATAATTCGAAAGTATTCTTCATTTCCCGGTTATATAATTTACAAGACTTACTCTATTTACTCTAGAATTTGATACCTTACTCTATATTTTCAGCAAAAGTGTAATAATTCTTCTGCTTGCGGTTGTTCACATGGGATCCCGGGAGTACCTGGTGTACCAGGCTCACCTGGGAAGAATGGCATACCTGGTTCGAAAGAGGATGTAGGTCCTCCAGGACCCGCTGGGATGAAAGGTGTTTCTGGAGAAAAGTGTGCGCCTGGGTTAAATAGGTGCCTCCACTCGAACTGGAAACAATGTACTTGGCAAGGGAGTGACGACAAGGATAACGGATTAATACAGGTAAGCCTAATTAAAGTCAATTTATAACCCCCGAGTGGGCGCGCCTGCGAGGGTACTAATTCCATTCGGAGAATGGGAACTACACTCGGGTATGGTGACAGAACATAGCGAAATCCAAAGTTGTCTAAATTCTATGTAAAGGATTGTGGACGTTCGACCGTTTTGTCAGTTATTCGCATGCGCGAGTAAAGAAAATTAATCTTCTCGGTAAGGATCGATGCAGTTTATTAATTATTTGCATAATTTTGAGCTTTTTATGCCGTTTTGCAAAGCCATAGTCATTGAATTTTGATAGGACAAATATCACTTCACACTATAAAACTTTAGGGTCGACTGAAATCACAGAATAAAATAACATTTGAGGTTTTTTCTTTCCCTCCGAACATTTTGTACTGTTTTAATGGTTGGAAGCATTTACTTAAATAATTGTTGCTAGAGTCCATAAACAGCCTGCCTAATTGGCGCGTGATGGCAGCAAAAAAACCCGGCCAATGTTTACACTAGCTTTATGATTCTTTTTGTTCCTAATGATGGAAACATCAGCTATAATATACTCGGTAATTATTATTACTAGTATATAATTTATGAGCCGGTTTTGAGTCATTTCATAGTAAAAAGTTTAGGTCAGTTTAGCTAAGGAAACTGTGTACTTGGTTTGAAAAAGAAAGGGTTTGCTGCATGCATATATTTCTAAAACTGCCTAATAACTCCTTATCAAATTTGGTACAACAGCTACTTGAAAATAACAGAGAAAAAACGTGATATAAGATAATATTTAATATATTTTCTGAAGGATTGCACCTTTAACAAAAAGGCCAACGACTCCTCTCTCAGGGTGTTCTATGGTGGTAATCTACGTATTCACAACTGCAACTATTGTTGCAAACGTTGGTATTTCGCATTTAATAGTATTGAATGCAAGAATCCCATGGCTATTGATGGTATTTTTTATATGGCGAGGGGATTGAAAAGAGATATTCTACGTCACCGTCATATTGAGGGTTACTGCAATAAACTACCCAAAGGCAAAGTCCGCGTTGGATTTTGGGTTGGAAATTGTAAGGGCTACAAAAATGCTGATGCTTACTCTGGTTGGAACTCCGTATCACGCATTGTCATTGAAGAGGTTCCACCACCACAATCTTAATACGTCTCCCTGCATTGTGCATTGGATTATGGATAATACATCAATTTCCTTTTTAATTTGTAAACAGTCTTTATTGTGAAATTCATAAGTAATCCTTGTAGTTTGTCTCTGAAACAAAAATACTTGATCACAAATGACGACATTTATGTACTCGTACAATTGTTGTTCATAGCATTAAACTGATAAACGCGTCGTATAAAATGATATCTTTCTCAGTTTTATAATCATTCGAAACTGTTTTTGTTGTTGGTATTTGCTTTGCATATCAGTGAACAAACTTGTCATAACATATTAATATCAATCTTCGGCTAATAACTGATTCGAGGGAAAATTTCCTGAATTAACTCATGACCTCATGAGCATGGGCCCTGCTCACATACTTGAGAAGTACGCTTCCAATAAAACCGGTTTACTTTCATTAAGTTCGAGTTTTTTCACCAGGTAATTATTAAGATCACGAATCAGTAAACATTTGCGCATTTCTTAGATATCGCTGGAATGCTATTTCTACTCCCTTCCAGGATTGATATGATTAGTGCCTAGATAGAGTCGTCAACTTTAAAATCTTAATTTTATAACAAAAAAATTTAAAAAATTGTAGCAAAATCAAAAATTTCCTTCTACAACATAACATGTCGACGAATACAAACCCATGACCCACAACCGCATCAAAAAGAGCCATTAAAACATGCACTTATCTGTATCATGTCTGATGTTAATTTAAATATCGAGTCCCAGGCAGACGACTTTGGTATGATGCTCATTGGAAATTTGTTCTCTTCAAATATGTACGCCAGTACTGCATAATAATTTTTATTATCCTAATTAACAAAATGTATGTCCCAACAAAATGAACAAATTCATGTTATATCAATCTCAAATACAAGGCTAATTTAACGATTTTAACGTTTCACGATTTCGACCAATCTGCTTTTAATATTCTTGTATGTTTGCATAGTTCATCAGCACGTATCTCCTGAAATTCCTTCATCGCACTTGTATCATCACAATAGGTTACAATTTCTTCACGAAATTTATTTACTTTATTTTGATAATCCTGGTCAATTTCTGCTTTTCTTGTTTCCTCAGAAAGCCGTATCGCAACTTTTCAACTATTCAACTTTTAAAGATTTCCAATGTGACGAACTTTCTCTTTCCAACGTTCTTCAGTTGCGTTCATCATACACGGTTTTTACTAAAAAAAATCAATAACAATGGGTATAATTATGTGCCTTTAATGAATCATTATTGTAGTTTTTATGGTCTCCAGGGTTATGTTTGTTGTCCGCTTGTCTGCTTTGCCGTAAAACAGTGGCTGCGGAAGATAGTTAAAGGGATGGGGGTGGGGTCAGTATATTCATATTTTCATATAAAAACAGTAAAATTCAAATGAAGCTAGAAATTCTGAACGTAAATATGGGAATATTACCCCCCCTCCCATTTAACATTCTTCTGCTACACCCCAGTTAACTTAGAATCAAAATACTTCCGGGAAAATCCCATATTCATATTCGTAATTAATTAAACTTAACTAATTAGCTAATGCAGTATTCACAGTTGAAGACGAAGACGAAGCTCAATTTCAAATCTATATCCGCTATTGTTTTATGGTAAGCTTTGATAAATACTTGAATAAATTATGTCACTGTAATATCAATAATATAACGTCAAAAAATTGTGGACAAAACTGAAGATTTTAATTCTGACACAAATTGGCAGGTGTTTTTTTTATAGTTTCATTATTTATACATTCCTATAACAAATGCTTGAACTTTTTGGCACTATTGTCGGACATTTTCGGGACAACTGGATATTTATGGACATCAATTAGACTTTTTTGAACCCTGCATGAACTGCAGAATTACTGAATGCAATTAATAATGTTTTCTTGAATGTCTTCAGGACAATATATCTAGGTATATAATCCAAAGAAACAGAGGCCAAAGCTCAGAGGCAAGATGCTTGGCAGCTGACTAAGTGCAAGAATATAGTTTCAACCAAGAGTCATATTTGCATAATATACTTTTTATTAAGGTCATCAGCTTAAAGTGCCTATATCTCTTGTGGGATTTTTACGGATTTGAATAGAGCTTGAAAAATTAGTTTATAAGTTCTACAACCTTTTTTGATATAATTAAATAGTTTCGGAAATATTTACATCTAAACATGACGATTTCCCTAAATTTCCGTCGTGCTCGGTGGCCTGGGACTCAGGAACCGAGTTCTTGTCAAGCATGATATAATCAATTGTAATTTTACTTCGATCTTCCAATAATGTAAAATATTTTGAGAAAAACTCGCCCAGTTGCTACAGCCATACACAACGCACCGTTCCCGCATTTTTTTCTTAAAAAGCGCAAACAATATCGCCAGTGAAACTCTTCGTGTTTACATTATAAAAGACGGCGTGTTTGCAAATAATTCCTGATTCCCAGTCCCACCAACCGACGTATTTTCGAAACTATTTAATTATATCAAAAAGGGTTGTAGAACTTACAAACTAATTTTTCAAGCTCTATTCAAATCCGTAAAGGTCCCACAAGTGATATAGGCACTTTAATTGTACCTCAATTGCATGGCTATAAAAGTTTTCAATATTATCTAATTGCACCCCTGGTCTTATTAATGAATAATATTCATCCCTCCATAGACTCAATTACTCCTGATTAGCCCATATATTGAATTTAGCTCTAGGCCTCTTGAAGTTTGATACCATAAACCGAAAATTATAAAAGTGGCCGCAGATTGAAGATACGTACTGCTCACACAATGCATGTGTATATTTATTTCTTTTACAAAAATAACAATGGTTATAAAAATACCAGCCAGCAACAAAATCAGATAACATGGTAATTAAGGATATAACAATGCAGATTCAGAACAATGTGTATAATGTGCTTGATACATCTCAGTTCAATGTTCCAACAAATATTGCATGACAATTACATGTAATAAGCCATCTCTAGCTGGCTTTATTTCATAGCATCTTCTTCCTGAAAAATATAAATGGAGATCTGATCAAGATTTATTCACAAGGTGCAAGAAGCTAAAAAATCAATTACAAGCCAATATAATTGATAAATTCATTTAAATTTGACAAGGAAAACAAGATGATATATTAACTAGGTTTTAACAGCCACCATCATCAGAGATTAAAATTTACACTGTTTGCAGCAAAAATCTTATTACTTTGTATCAGCACCCACTTAGCACTTTTGTCAGCCATGCAGATCATGTTAATTAATGCTTGATCTAGTCAACTGGATGGAAGGTTTACCTATTTACATTATTGTTTGCTATCATGAAAACAACATAGACCAAACTCAAAGATTTACATTGCCAGGAATTTAATTCCTTCCCCACACAAGTCAAGAAAATGATAAAGTTTGAGTATATAACATTGCACATGTCATTGCACATGGTACCAAAGGTCTAAAATAGTACATTTGCTGTTTGTACCATAAGTTTTGATGGATTTATATGGCTCAGGACCTTTGGTAATCAGTTTGTATTCGAGTCCAAAGACAAAAAACTGAAATTGTTATAAAAACCGGCTTACCTGGATGCCATAAAATAACAGCAGAATGAGAAAAATCATTCCCCCGATAAGTGAATTAAGCCATTCACAACGTCAGAAGACGTAGAGCACGAAGCTATGTGTCCTTTCCATTTGTTCAACAGGGAAAAAGAGAAACACTTTTGTCCATTTTATATGAAAAACAAAAAATATATACGGAAAGCTGAAAATATTTCCATTAAAACCAGGAGGGAGATGGACACAGTTTTTCACCTTGTATCGCGGTATGTCAGTGGTAACCACCATGAGCAAAAGGAACCATGTGGCGTCATGTTTTCGCCATGTTTTTGGCGACACGATTTGGCCGGGAGCCGGTCCTCCAGGAATTTTAATATAGCTCAGTGATATGAGCTAATATCTGTCTAGTAGCCAACCAATGAGGTTGCAGCATACCTCATATCTGGCGCTTGTGTGTATATAATAATCAATTATTATTGGATGAGGTTGAGCGTGATATTGAGAATTAACATGCAAAGCAGAGTGAGCGTATAGGCTCACGTCATCCAAGACACTGATCTCATAACATTGACGACACTGGTCACATCACACAAATGGATAATAATAATTACTCTTCCAAATCTTTGATTAATTTTCTAGAGGATTGAACAAAGACAGATAACTGTTTATTTATATAGTTAGCTTCGAATTTTGGGTCCGTTGTTCGAGTGCTATTCGGGTGTACGAATGCCCGTATTCGTTGAAATCTTGCAGTCTGGAGGGGCCGCGGTTGTATGAAGGCCGGATAGCGTTATCCACCGGATTGTGGTTTTTCAATGGCTTTAAGATCGCCCGTTGTTTGCTATAATTTTGATTAAATCTTAATATTTCTAAATCAAGGATCCTCTTTAATAAATGTTGATTCTAAAGTTAAAATTTTATCGCTTTTCGAGCATTTTTAGAACGAAAAAATCACTATCCGCTGGATAGGCTATACCTACTGGCTTTCATACAACCGGCCCCAGAGAGCCAAAGTCAGTTGGGTGGCAGGACATAGCGTCTTCAGCTTGGTGCTTCATGCCAGGGACGTAGATCATTCTCAACCTGTATCCCGGTTGATCTACGGCTTCTTCATTGGCAGAGAAGTTCCCTGCATGTGCATGATTAGGCCAAGTTAAGCACTGTCTTCCCGGCTGAGGAAGGTTTTGTAAGATTCGTTGGTGACGTATGTGATTTGGCGGGTTTCGAGATTTTTTCCATGTTTTGAGGTTCCAGAGTATAGACTTCACCAAGGATCTTTATTCCGCCGTCATTGGCAACATAATTATGCACTTTCATGGTCACCGAAATTAATTCATGTTTTCGTAGGCCGAGACATTGGAGTATAAAAACAACCTTGTCTTCCCATAGTTCCCTAACCAAAAAATTCTAGAGTGATACTTTCACTGCATGCTGTCACATAATAATGAGATTAACGTTTTTCTAG